CATTGTGACGGTTCAAGGCACATATGGTCTCTGCATAATGAGTCACATGAACAGAATGAACAAGGTAGTACTGAGGAAGAATTGATATTACCATAGATCTCAACGCGATGTATTAGCAGTAAAAACATTTGATAATGATCACTATACAGGTAATGACCAATATTATGCACAAGCTAACAACAAACTCAAGCTATTGCACAAGGAGGCATGGAAGTCAGTGCGGAGGGCTTGAATCAATGACACTACATTACAGATCAAAATTTCAGAAAGCATATTACCCGTCAATATGAACTTATACCAACGCTGGTTAGAAGCCTCACCACCTTCTCAGCAATCTCGTTCAGTTCCTTCTGAAACGGCTTTGCCAAGCCCAGCAATGCAACCTGAAATCATGATGAACTACATTGATCGACCTGCACTATGATTTTGTAAGCAGAGGTAAAGATCAAGGTACTCGTCAATCGTTTGAGAATGATAAGTACAGATCAGGTGAACCTGGAGCTTGACCACGGTCCTCCTCGGCCGGGTGTAGTGCCACACGGCGACGGCCAGGAGAATGAGGCCGATGAGCATCAGCCACGCTTGCACGAGTACGGCGGGGTCGACGTCCGCAGCTGCCACGGGTGGCGCGGCCGCCGTCCCGACCGACTCGTGAGTCGTCGAAGAATCGTGCCAAGATGATCCTGAGGAGGACGAGCTGTAGGATGTTGAGGAGGACCAGGAGGAGGAGCTGCTGGATGTTGAAGAAGAGGAGCTAGAGGACGAAGACGATGAGGAGGAGCGCCCGCCCATGGAGCCGCCTGACGCAGCGATCGCGGCGGGCGGGATGGCCGCGTTCGCAGCCGCGGCGGCGAGTAGCAGGGCGACAGCAACCGGGATCTCGCGGGCCGCCGCGTCGTCATGGCTAGTCGGCGGCGACTTCGAGGCTGCACGACTGGGCGGGGGCGTGACGGGGAACCGGAGATTGCGCGGCCGTGCCGGCGCCGCCGCGTGGCGTCGCGCTTCCGAGATGGGAATCGAACCGTCGGAACAGCCGACGGTGACCGCCATCAGAAGCGGAGGTCCAGGGTTTGGCCAAAGGTTTAGCCCCCGTTTTCAACGCGAAGATTCTTTTACTAGCCCCGTTTGCCAGCCGTGTAGATATACGAATTCCCCGTTAAGAAATCAAAGCTGAAATAATGTTGGGATGTTTATGTTCTTTTCACTAAACTTCTTAGGGTTAATTAAGCTCTCACAATCAATTAAGGTGTCCGATGATGTAAAAAAATTAAGATGTCCAATGATGTAATATATGAGTTTCCGTTAAGAAATCATTTAAATAACAGTAATACTAACTGATGATGTTTTTAATATGGCCCACAACAAATCTCCTGAACCAGGTGGCTTTACTGCTGAGTTTTATCAACATTTTTAGGATTTGATTAAATTTGATCTAAAAGCCCCTTGGATGACTTTTAGAAGCAAAATGGATATTAGAAGACTTAACTGTGGCATTATTACTCTGGTTCCAAAAACAAAAAATGCTAACCAAATTCAGAAATTTAGACCTAGTTTCTTGTTAAATGTAAGCTTCAAAATATTGACAAACGTCTTGATGAATAGACTTAACTTAGTAGCTGCAGAGGTTATCTTCCCAATCCAGACTGTTTTTGTTAAAGCTAGATATATTATGGAGGGTGTATTAATACTACATGAAGCCTTAAATAGCATTCATAAAAAAAGGCAAAGTGTTATTCTCCTCAAGGTGGATTTTGAGAAAGCATATGACAAAGTGAAATGGTCTTTTGTCTTCCAAATGATTAAAATGAAGGGGTTCCCTGATAAGGGGGTAGATTGGGTAATGAAACGTATTAGAGGTGGTAAAGTTTCTATCAAAGTAAATGATAGCTTAGGCATTGTTGTATCCTTTGTTGCAGCACTTTGCAAGACATTGTTGAACTACTTTATTTATTTATAAATGTGGCCGTATGCATCTGTCTGATGCAGAGGCCGGGGAAACCCCCCTTTTCGAAAAAAAAAGATAGCTTAGGCACCTACTTCCCTACACACAAAGGGACAGGGGGATTCTGTATCTCCTTTGAACTTTGATCTGGCAACTGATGGCTTGGCCATTATGCTCAATAATGCCAAGAAAGCTGATCTTATAAAAGGGGTCCTAAATGAGAATGTTGAGAATGGGATTAACATGCTCTAGTATGCAGATGATACAATTCTTTTTTTTTTGCTACATGATGATTATGAAAATTGCTCATCATTTGAAATCTATTTTATGTCTCTTTGACCAAATGTCTGGACTAAAAATCAATTTTCGCAAAAGTGAGTTGTTTCTTTTTGGGGATGTTGTTAATATCGCAGAGGCATACAGGATTTTTACTTGCCCTGTTGGTACTTTACCCATGAAATAATTGGGACTCCCTGTAGATGAGAAAAGAATCGGAAATAAACATTGGAAACCTCCTAGGGAGAGAATGGAGGGGAAGTGTGAAAACTGGCAGGGGAGGTTATTGGCAAATGCTGGAAGAATTACTTTGATTCAATCCTCCTTACTGGAATTCCATATTTTATGATGTCCTTCTATGGACTGCCAGTGGGTGTTTGTAAACGTATGGGTTTTTATAGAGCTAGATTATTATGGCAAAAAACCATTGACAAGAAAAAATATCATTTGGTTAAGTGCTCTGAGGTTTGCAGACCAAAAGACATGGGTGGGCTGGGGATACAGAACTTATCTTTGATGAACAAAGATCTATTATGTAAATTGTGGTGAAAACTTTTTAATACAGATGGACTATGGCAAGATATTATAGACAATAAATACAATAAGCATCAATTTCTGAATGTTGTAACATCTAGACAGGGAGACTCCCCGTTTTGGAGTGAAATCCTTAATCACAAAGAACATTTCCTCTCTCTCTCTCTATAGATTTATTGTAGGGAGAGGAGACAATGTTAGATTCTGGGAAGAGTGGTGGATTGGAGCAAAATCCTTGAAATGCAGTTTTCTTAGATTATATAATATATGTTTTGATAAAAACAAGTCTGTTAGACACATACTGAACACTGGTATAGATAATGTGAGGTTCAGAAGAACTCTAATTGGAGATTCTCTTGAATTATGGAATCACATCAAAGAGGTTTGTGCCTATGTTGTTCTAGATGATAAAAAGGATGAGGCTAGATGGACCCTGACAAAGAATAGCATATATTCTGTTAAGTCTTTCTATAGACATTTAATTGAAAATGGAGTTAAATATCCACAATTTTCATGTGGAAAGTCAAGACGCCTCCTAGGGTGAAAGTTTTTATGTGGTTAACTTTGAGAAATAGTATTCTTACAAAAGACAAGTTGCTTTGTAGAGGGTCGAAGGGTGATAAGAAATGTCCCTTTTGTGGAAGAGATGAAACTATTAATCATCTATTTTTCGCTTGTTGTTTTTTTTTTGCTGGAGGGGTTAAAAGCGGACATGGCGCTGCTCAGTTAGCAATTAACATTGTCAAAACCATTTTCATCGTGAGAAGGGTTGAAACTTAAACCAGATGTTTAGTCTGGAGTGTGGGTTGACAGGTTTTTGTAGTTCAGGGTTAAAACTTAAACCGAGTGGCAAGTTCAGGGTTGTAATGTGGATTTTTCTCAAAGTACTGTATGTGTCGTTACGAACCGTAATCACATTTCATTTCTTCAGTAGTGTTAAGACCCCAAGATGTAGTGTTAGTAACGAACAGTTTGAGATATCTTTCTGCAGTGCTCCGTGAAAGCAGAAGCCTTGCAAGATGAACATGATGCATGATGAGCTGTTGACATGCTAGTTTGTGGTTGGCTGACTCTGCTCAACGTAGGCAGGCAGGCAGATTTCTCAAACTCTGTCCAAGAAAAGCACAGCATACGAGTTGGCTTGGATTCTCACGGTCCGCCTTGTCTGAATTTTCAAGCACAACTTTAATGGATCAAAATGTAGTTTTCTCTCGGTTTGTGGTTGGTTTCTAGCCAGTCAGCTTATGGCCAGCTCTATCGTTCGTGCATGTTGTGTGTGCTGTAGGTGTGAACACATATGTTCCAGTGTTGTAGCCGTCACGATTCCGTCGTAGTCTAGGTGGTTAGGATACTCGGCTCTCACCCGAGAGACCCGGGTTCAAGTCCCGGCGACGGAAATCTTTTTTTTGCTCTATAAATTTTTCCTAAAGTTTTTCCTTTTTTTCCCAGGGTAATTTTCACTGAAGTTGAATGATCATAGTTCCTGATCCGAGTGAAGGATAAATGCATCTGGCAATGTGCTGTTCATATCGAAGCTCATTCTGTCACATGCTCATTGTTGATATAGGAAAGACAGTTTGTCACCCTAAGCTGCTCGGTGAAATTATCTTCATTTTTGAGACTGCTTTGTAGTTTTTGGTGAAAGCAAATGCTCATAATAAGGTAAATCTGGGCAAGCTAGATGCTTGATGAGCTGGTGGCCAGTTTGTGATGGTAGTCCTAACCTTTGGAGACACCGATCCACTGTGAGGCATTTGGTCATGTGTTGCCATGGGAAGTTCAGAAATGTGTTATGGATCAAAGAAAACACCACGGCGAGCAACACATGGCATGCTCCTCGTCCTAGCCTACAAATCTATTTTCATTTCTCTGTCTATTTTTCATCAGTTTGATACAAGAAGTTCTCGACATGCTTGTTCTGCTTCACCAAAGCAATCAGTTTCTCCGGAAGCGGAAAGCGACGTGACGATGAGCGCATCACGGCCGTCCACTCTGGTCTGAAAAGAAGAGGAGTCCAAAAATTGATTCCTTTCTTCCTTCCCTCCACTTCTCCTTTCCCTCCGCCGATCAAAAAGCAGAGCCACCCCACCACCACCGCCACCCACCGACGGCCACCTCCCGTTCTCCTCCTGGCTCTGCTCCTTCCACACCCGCAGGCCGCAGCGATGCCGCCGCGCCGGGGCTATAAACCCGGCCTCCGGCCGTAGCAGCCCAGCCTTCTGCTCCTACACCCCTAATCGCAACCACAATGGGCAACGCTGCGCTGCGTGGTCCGGCGGTGGAGGAGCGGCTGACGCAGCCGCGCCGCCTGGTCCGGCAGCTCTCCGACCTCGACCCCGACCGGCTCCGGCGGCTCATCCGCTCCGGCGACCTCGCGCCGTGCTTCGACGCCGCCGACGAGGACGGCCGCGCCGTGGAGTGCCCCATCTGCTTCCACGTACGTATGCGCATGACGACTCCCTCCTAAGTTCGACTGACAGTTGGGCTTCTCTGGTGCGTTGTTCTGATGGTTCTCTTTTCTGTCCTCGATGGATGCAGTTCTACCCGAGCTTGAATCGATCCAAGTGCTGCGGCAAAGGGATCTGCACAGGTGACCCCGTTACAATTATCTGTCCAGTTTTTTGCTCGAATTTGTACTGAAATTCAGAAGTAGTACTCCTGTCAACTGAGAACTGCACAATTACACTGTACTTATAAAACATGGTTCACTGTAATGACTCTGCCAAGTTCTCAATCACCCTGCCCTGCAGAGTGCTTCCTGCAGCTGATGCCGTCCAAGGCTTCCAGGGCTGTCCAGTATCCTACTCTGCTCCCTACCTTGTGTGCGATACTCTGTGCATATGTATCTCATCATGAACATCTTTAATCACTAAATTAATTTGATACTTGTTCTATGATTCATACTTCTGCATCTATATTTATACTGAAGAATTTTAAGTTGAGTCGTTCATGTATTGGGCCTGAAATCTGACTGTTTTCTAGCTGAATTTTGCACCTAAATACCTCTGGGCCCTTAACTAGCAATGCAGCTGCCCATTCTGCAAAACCGCAGCCTACGCTGTCGAATACCGCGGTGCTAGAACCTTGAGTGAGAAGAAACTTCAACGAGAAGTAAGCTTTCAGCCCAGAGATTCTGATCAACATACAGCATCATACTACCTGATATTTGCCAGCAAAACTTTTATTCTAAATTTCTTACAGGAAGAACAGAGCGTTCATGAGGGTGCAACGAGAATACATTCCAAGAACGCCGGTCGACATATCCTACTACCATAGGAGTCGCAAGCCCGATTTTGCCACGCTAAAAGCTCCAAAACCGAACTGTTGTTTTTTCTGACCCTTTGAGAGAGATTTCATTGCTGCCTTGACAGTACCTGAAATGTTTCAGATGTTATTTGTCTGCATAATTTTTAGACAATGGAAAGAACTGTTTTAGATATATATCTTTGCAGAACAGAGACACAGAATAAATGCTACTACTGCAAACTGAAACAAAAAATATTCTGCAAGTGAGCACTAGTAGAGTGAGGATTTGGTGCAGAAGTGTGGAATGATTATGTTGACGGCTCTGAAGACAAAGATAAAGTGTTGATGCCTAAATTATATTTGTGGTGGCCAAGAACTCCACGTTAGCGTCCACTCATCATGCAACCGCAGCCTGTACTCTGTAGTTCTTCTACTTCTATCATTTCTACTGCTGTCGAAGTTCAGAATGTGACAGCATCAGCATCAAATGTATTCTTCTTTTTTTTTTGCCGGGGGAAATGTATTCTTCAGCTCGGTTGAAAACCTTTTGCTCGTTTCCGGATTCTTCAGTTACGCCACGAACTTCCTACTGTATCGTTAGAACCTGAAGGCTGTTTAAGCACCATGTGCATTTACAGTATGCTTACTGATTCGAATTGCAGAACATTTACAGAATGCAGTTTACCTGAACTGTTCATGAATGGCATCCATTTCCATTTTCCTGCGATGCGATGTCGTAACAAAACCGGCAGGAACCCTGTCTAGAAACTTCCAATGTAGGGAGGAGGAGGGTGGAAGATTGCTGGAATTTTGTCCAAGACAAACAATTCTCAGGATCCACTTTGTCTGAATCTGGAGCAGTCCATGTGTTCGCATGCATGGCGGAATTCACATATGTAATGGATCAAATAGAGAAAATGCAGTTTGTTGTCGGTTTGTGGATGTTTTCTAGCCATGTCTGAATCAAACAAAGCTGCGATTCAGCTCGTGCCCAGCCCTATATTTCGTGCAAGAATAAGGCTTGACCTCTGGTGGTGCTAATTTTCTGTGGCGTGCGCGAACAGATATGTTCCAATATTTGTTCTGCCACTGTTCCGTCGTAGTCTAGGTGGTTAGGATACTCGGCTCTCACCCGAGAGACCCGGGTTCAAGTCCCGGCGACGGAAATTCAATCTTTTTAAAATAATAAAGAAAATCCTAAAGTTTGAACCCGCATTGACACTGAAAAGTACTCCCTCCGTTCAAGAGCCTTTTCATTTTCTCGATTTTTTCAGTTCAGTCTGGTAATCTGCTTCTTCGGAAAGCGCCGTCACCATTGGGATCGGCCCATCTCAGCCGTCCACTCCGATCCGATCCCGCTTGGAAAAAAAGAGGAGTCCAAAATTTGATTCCTTGCTTCCTTCCCTCCACTTCTCCATTCCTCTCGCCGATCAAAAACCCGCTGCCAGACGTAGCAGAACTACTAACTAAATATCATCCCTTATAAAGGATATGCCCCTATTTCTTTAAAATAATGCTTCATCTCAGACAAGTTTTTCACTGTCATCAATATTCCAAGAAGTTCTCAAATATCCTGTTCTGTCTGTTTCATTGCTTTGCAGAGTGCTTCTTGCAGTTGATACCGTCGAAGGCTTCCAGAGCTGTCCAGTGTCTAGTATCCTACTGCTCCCTCCGTCCCAAAATAAGTGTCTCAACCTTAGTGCTTTGCAACCTAGCTAGTGTGCAATACTCTGTATACGTGCCTCATGAGCATCTGTACCAGATTTAGTCCGATACGTGCTTATGTTGAAGAAAATCTTTACTTTGTTTGATGTATGCGCCTAAAATCTTACTGTTCTCTAGCCGAGTCTTGCACCTGAATCCCTTTGGGCCCCTAACAAGCAATGCAGCTGCCCATTCTGCAAAACTGCAGCCTACGCTGTCGAATACTGTGGTGCTAGAACCTCAAGTTAGAAGAAGCTTCGCGAGAAGTAAGCTTTCTGCCCAGTGATCCTGATCAACAACACCATAGTAGTTGCAAGCCCAATTTAGCATTGCTAAAACCTTGCTTATTGAACTGCTGATGGGTGTATACGTACGTATGCGCATCTAATTCTCACAATTGCGCTTCTCTGGTGCATTGGTCTGATGTTTTTTTTTTCCTCCATCGATGCAGTTCTGGTTACAGGTAAATTGGGCTTCGGCAAAGGGATCTGCCCAGGTAATCCGTCGAGTTACAGTTATACTTCTCTTCATTTCTAAATTTGTACTGAAATTCAGAAGTTCGTAGTTAATACCTATATTAGGCCAAGTGAAGTGAGAACTACATATTAACATTCTAAGAGAAGTTTCTCTGAAGCTTTCAATCATTCTGTCCTGCAGAGTGTATCTTACAGCTGATGCCGTCGAAGGCTTCCAGAGCTGTACAGTATCCTATTTTGCTACCTAGCTAGTCTCCAATACTCTGCATATTGTATCCCTTTGAACATCTTTACTAAATTCGATCTCAAAGATGCACTGTGCATGATGCCTATGTTTCATACTGAAGAATATATTTTGCCTTGATTGTTGTATCTGAATTCAGTGTGGGTGTCCTTAACTAGCAATGCAGCTGCCCATTCTGCAAAACCGCCAACTACGCGGTTGAATACCGCGGTGCTAGAACCTTGAGTGATAAGAAACTTCAACAAGAAGTAAGCTTTGTGCCCAGATATTCTGATCAACAGCACCATACTACTTTATAATTTCCAACAAGCCTTCTATTTTGAACTTGCTGCAGGAAGAACAGAACGTTAATGAGGCTACGATGAGAATACATTCCAAGACTCGGAATATCGGTGGACAGATTCTCCCACCGTAGGAGTTGCAAGCTCGATTTTGCAGTGCTAGAAGCTCCCTACCAAACTATTGATTTTTCGAACCCTTCGAGAGATATTTCAAGGCTTCCATGATTGTACCTGAAATGTTTCAGATATCATTTCTCTGCATTATTTTGGGACAATGGAAAGAACTGTTTTAGATACAAGAGGTATGCAGAACAGAATAAATGCTAGTACTGCATGCTGAGACAAAAAATATTCTGCCAGTGGCACTGGTAGAGTAGAGTGAGGATTTGGTGCAGAAGTATAGAACGATTCTGTAATTGGCTCTGAAGACAAAGATCAAGTCCAAAGTTTTCAGGCCCTAAATTGTATTTGTGGCAGCCAAGAACTCCACGTTAGCGTCAGCCATCAGGCAGCCGGAGTCACTCTGGTGTCGTGCGGTGCACCTTTCCTGCTGCAGAATCCCAGCCTGTCATTCTTTTGTTTTTATCATTTCTAGTTTGGTAAGCTTCGGAGTGCGCTTCGAAGTTACAGAATGTCACAATATCAAATGTATTCTTCAGCCCGGATGAAAACTAGTTGCAATTCATTTGTTAGACCTTACTATCAATATCAGAATATTCGATTTCAGTTTCTTGCAATAGTACGTTGGAATCAGTTGTGCTATGAACTTTGTACTGTACTGTTAGAAGCTCAAGGCTGTGTAAGCACCAATGTGCATTCACAGTATGCTTACTGAATCAGATTACAGAACATTCAGTGCACTGTCTGAAAAAGAATGCAGTTTACCTGAACTGTTCATGAAGGGCGTCCATTTCCATTTTCGAGGGATGCATTTTCATACCAAAACCAAGCCTAGAAACTTCCAACGTAGGGAGGAGGCTGGAAGATTGCTGGAAATTTTGGCCAAGACAAACACATGATATGTTGGTTTGGATTCTCATGATCCGCTTTGTCTGAATTATGGACAGTCCATGTGTTCGCATGCATGGCGGAATTCAAATATGTAATGGATCAAATAGAGCAAATGTAGTTTTCTCTCTGTTTGTGGTTGGTGTCTAGCCATGTCACTTTATGCTCAGCTAGCCAAGAATATGGCTTGCATGTACTAGTGCATGTTTGTGTGGTGTGCCGAAAGAGATATGAAGTAGTATTTGCATTGTTACTCATTCCGTCGTAGTCTAGGTGGTTAGGATACTCGGCTCTCACCCGAGAGACCCGGGTTCAAGTCCCGGCGACGGAAGCTTTTTTTTATAACTGCTTTTTCTAAAGTTGAACCCTCATTGACACTGAAAAGTACAGTATATTCAGAAGCCTTTTCATTTCTCTATCTATTTTTTCAGTTCAGTTTGGCAATCTGCTTCTGCGGAAACAGACGTCACGATCGGCGCATCGCGGCCGTCCACTCCGCTCCGATCCCGTTTGAAAAGAAAGAGGAGTCTAAAATTTGATTACTTTTTTCCTAAAGTTGAACCCTCATTGACACTGAAAAGTAAGTATATTCAGGAGCCTTTTCATTTCACTATCTATTTTTTCAGTTCAGTTTGGCAATCTGCTTCTGCGGAAACAGACGTCACGATCGGCGCATCGCGGCCGTCCACTCCGCTCCGATCCCGTTTGAAAAGAAAGAGGAGTCTAAAATTTGATTACTTTTTTCCTAAAGTTGAACCCTCATTGACACTGAAAAGTAAGTATATTCAGGAGCCTTTTCATTTCACTATCTATTTTTTTCAGTTAAGTTTGGTAATCTGTTTATGCGGAAAGAGACGTCACGATCGGCTCATCACGGCCGTCCACTCCGCTCCGACCCCGCCTGAAAAGAAAGAGTCCAAATTTTGATCCCTTGCTTCCTTCCCTCTTCTCCTTTCCCTCCGCCGATCGAAAAGCAGCCACCGACAGCCACCTCCCGCTCTCCGGCTCTGCTCCTTGCACACCCGCAGGTCACACCGATGCGGCCGCGGCGGGGCTATAAACCCGCTCCCAGAAGTCACTATTAACTGAATATCATTGCTTATAAAGCATATTCCCCCATTCCTCCAAAATAATGCTTCATCTCAGAGAAGTTTTTCACTGTCATCATTATTCTAAGAAGTTCTCAAATAGCCTATCATGTTTCAAGGTTGTGCAGAGTGCTTCTTGCAGTTGATGCTGTCGAAGGCTTCCAAATCTGTCCAGTATCCTACTTTGCTACCTAGCCGTGCAATACTCTGCACATGTACTGTACCCCATGAACATCTGTACCAAATTTAATCTGATACGCGTTTATACTGAAGACTCTTTACTTTGAATGATGTATTGGACCTAAAATCTTACTGCTCTCTAGCTGAATTTTGCATCTGCCCTTTGGAACCTTAACTAGCAATGCAGCTGCCCATTCTGCAAAACCACAAACTACGCTGTTAAATACCGAGGTGCTAGAACCTTGAGTGGGAAAAAACTTCAGCAAGAGGTAAGCTTTCTGCCCAGTGATTCTGATCAACATACAGCATCATGCTACCTGATGATTTCCAACAGGTCCTTCTTCTGAATTTCTTCCAGGAACAACATAGCATTAATGAGGCTGCGACGAGAAGACATTCCAAGAACACCGGTGGACACATATTCTACCACCATAGTAGTTGCAACTTGCAAGCCCACTGCAGTGCTAAAAGCTCACTTGGTAAACTGTTGATTTTTCTGACTTTCAGAGAGAGAGATCTCATGGCTCCCATGACCGTACCTGAAATTTTTCAGATATCATTTGTCTGTATGATTCTGAGACAATGGGAAGAAACTGTTCTAGATATAGATGTATGATGAACAGAGTAATTGCTACACTGCATGTTGAAAGAAAAAACAAATCTGCCAGTGGCAGTTAGAATGGCGATTTGGTACAGGAGTGTAGAATGATTAGTATTATTCATGGGAAGGAGTGTAGAACGATTCTGTGGGCGGCTCTGAAGACAAAGATAAAGTCCCAAATGTTCAGGCCTAAATTATATTTGTGGTGGTCAAGAACTCCACGTTAGCGTCCAGTCATCATGCTGCCGCAGTTGCTTTTGTTCCATGCGGTGCACCTTCCCTACTACAGAATCCCAGCCTGTAATTATTTTGTCTTTATCATTTTTATTAGCCCGTTAAGGTTCGGAGGTTTGCGCTCACTCTTAACTACTGTCAAAGTTCGGAATGCGACATCAGCATCAAATTTATTCTTCAGATCAGATGAAAACTTTTTGCTCGATTGGAGATTCTTCATATGAGATGCAAACTAGATCCACTTCCTTTGTTAGATGTTACAATTGATAACTCCATTCCAGCTTCTTGCGATGATATGTTGGAGCTCAGTTTTGTTTTGAAAACTGTTTACTCACTATGCGCATTTACAATATGTTTACTGATGAATTACATTGCAGAACATTCTGCATGCTACCATGCTTACATTACAGAGTCCATTTTCAGGGATGCATTTTCATACCAAAGCCATCTGGAACCAGTCTAGAAACTTCCATCCAGAACTCACGAGAAGTACCAGTATATAGTATTAGCAAACTGGCAATAGCGACCATAGATTGAGCCAAACCCCTCCTCAGCTCCTAAGATAACACGAATCGCCAATGGTTAAGCTCCAAAGAGTTAGGTCATGTTTCACATGCCATAGCGCCCGTGAAGGAATCCGTCCAGTCACCGTTCGCGCCACCTTTTACAGTAAGCATCATGTGCCACCAATACATTATGCATCAAGCCGCGGCTATATAAACACGCATACACGGCACAGGACTGCACACATCACCAGCAAAGATCATAGTACTAACACAGTCACATCAATCGCCAATGGCGTCGTCCCGTCGGGTTCTTCTTGTGGCGCTGCTAGTGTCAATGGCAGCAGGTGTTGCAATGGGCAGGCCGGTGAGAAGCGACTTGGGTCTGGGTTTAGGTGGTGGGCTAGGCATAGGGCTTGATCTTGGGCTCGGTGGATCGGGTTCGGGCCAGGGGTCGGGTTACAGTGCTTGGTCGGGTCAGAACGGTGGCTCTCACACCGCGTCCGGTCGTGGGTCGGGCACGGGCTCCGGTTACGGGTATGGCTCGGGCTCTGCTAATGGGGGCTCAGCTTCCGGTTGTGGTTCGGGTACGTCGTCTTGCTCGGGTTCGGGTTCTGGCTCTGGCTCCGTAGGCTTGGACACATCGATAAATGTCGGTGTTGGTGTCGGCGTCGGCTCGAATGGTGGGGCGAACGGTGGTCCGGACTGTAACACGGGTACCGGGTCGAACTATGGTTCCAGAGCGGGCTTGGGTTCGGGCTCTGGGTCCGGGTCCGGGTCAGGTGGAGGTTCATATTCCTCACGTGGGCGTGAGTCATCTGGTATTGGGTCGGGTTCTGGTGTATCGTCCGGGGTTGGCGGCGGGTCGAATGTCGGGCCAAGTGGTGGGTGCTTATCTTGTGGTTCTGGCACTGGTGGTGTTGTTGGTGGCTCCTCGTCGAATTCAAATTCGAATTCGGGCACTGGTTCAGGCTCCAACTCGTATGGTGGGTCGAATGCCGGTTCTTACTCGAATACTGCAGCTGGGTCCGGCTCAAGCGTAGGCTCGGGATATGATTCCTCTGGCTCAGGTTCAGGTTCAGGTTCATCTTCTGGGTCAGGTTAGTGTTGTGTTTGGTTACTCTTCTCGTTGCTAACATTCACGCTTTTTTTCACGTGTCTCACCAAGGTTTTGCGTGTCTCAGGTGCGGCTTCATTTGGTGGATCACGTGTCGGTTCAAACTCCAACTCTGGCTCTACGTCGGGTGCAAACTCAGGGTCAAATTCTGGTGCAATCGGTGCATCAGGTAGTGGATCAAACTCCATGTCAAGTGCAAACTCGGGTGCGTTCGGTGCATCAGGCGGTGGATCAAACTCCATGTCGGGTTCGGGGTCAAGCTCTAACTCCGGCTCTATGTCGGGTGCAAACTCGGATGCTGGTTCGAGCTCTGGTGCGTTCGGTGCATCCGGTAGTGGATCAAACTCCATGTCTAGTTCAGGTTCCGGCTCAAGCTCAGCATCCGACTCGATGTTTACTCCTCGTCATTACTGGAGTACTTTACAGGATTGCACGTTGATATGTAACATTGCACAATGTTCTAATCCTACGTTTGCAACCCCACAAAAAGTTTTATTCATTGCAACTGCAATCAAGTGTAACACGTGCTTGATTTTTCTACAGGGTCTACTGGATTCGGTTCCAGCACGGGCGCCGGTTCTAGCTCGAGCGCCTGGTCCGGCGCCGGCTCCGGCTCGAACCCCGGCTCATTCTCCGGAGCAGGATCCTCCAGCTGGTCCAGCTCGACGTCCGGCTCAACCTCGGGCGCAGGGTTCGGTCCCGGGGGACGGCCGGGGTTCGGCGTGGGCGGAGGAGGAACAGGCTACGGCGCGGGTTACGGGTCCGGTGGCGGGTCTGGCTGGGGCAAGCACCACTGAAAACTGATCCTCGTCGAGTGAACGAGTGATCGTTCACGTGCACTTTTTAAGGCCTTCATCACGCGTGATATTTTTCGTTTGTTTCTGGTTGGGTGGTGTACGCATGCACCAACTTGTTTATTTTACGTCTCGTGGACGAGTTTGCGATTTCAATCGAATGGATCGTTGCAGAATCATGCGTTTGTGAAGAACAAGTCATGGAAAAGTTGAGCGAAACTCCTCGGCAAGTCACGTTGCCGGCAGGCTGTTCCCTTGTCGGGTCGTCGAAACCGGCATTGCTTGAGCTCTTGCGCCACGTGATTCCCGGCCGCGGTCGATCGGTCGACCTCGTCCCGTCCGGCGATCCGGCGGACCCGGCCGGTGAATGGGCCGATGAGACGTCACCGGTATCCGTTTCGATCGTCCGTGCCGGCAAGGGCACGGAAGCTAGCCGGAAAAGGGCGAGGCAAAGGCCACGCGCCGGCGCGTCGCGCGCGCCAGGGCACCGCTCCCCGATCTGGGCAGGCACGCACGTACCGCCGGCCGGACCCCGTCGCCATGCACGAGACGGGCGCTCCGGCGATCGATCCTGACGCGCGACTCCATCCGGCCGCCCGGCCGTTCCGCTGCTCTCGGCACGGGTCGGGACACGCGTTCGTGGAGCACATGGAGCGCTCCGTATGGCGCTGCTCTGCTCTCCGCCCGGCCGTCGAATTAGCGTCAGATGAAGTGGACGTATTGGTGTAGGTACACATTTTTACTACTCTACTTTTCTAACAACCACTATTCTTTTTGTTCTAAAAAAACACTATTATGCTTTTGGAACGGAAATTTTTGAAAAGAAATCATCACCAGTGCATAATAATATCTTGATAACAATGTTTATGAGAGAGAATATAGAAGAGACATATATGTTTATAAAACATTTTTGGTTGGATTCTCCCCTCCCCTCCCCCGTCTTCATGTTCGAAATGATGCAAACATTTTTTCCCCTTGAAGAGAGGAACACAGCTTCTAGTTTCATTGCTGAACCAAAGTATACCGCGTGACTTCTACGCCAGGTTTTAAATCCGACACCTAGCTCACGACGCCAAACACCGAAACACTAATGGGGGGTGTTCTATATTTCAGTGGGCACCACATGCGCACGCTACAAGGGCCGTCACCTCCTTCATCCATCGATCCATCCTCATATCCGATACTGACGCATCGATCTTGTCAGGCCTCTCTGCCATCGACGCCACCACGACGCCAGTCAGCATCGTCCTCCTACACGAGTCCATCGCCACCCATCAAATACCGAGCATTCATTATGAGTTTTCCAAACTGTCCAAATTCACAACCGAAATACCAAAAGAAATCACATTTCTAGCTCTAGCATCAAAAGTGTTTACAGATATTTACCTGAGACAAAATAATCGCTACATGTTTTGCGATGTTATTGAGAGTTATTTACCCAAAACCACCACACTTGGGGCTAGGGTAACCGGTCAGTACCACATTTAAGCCATGTCATAAAAAACCACCAACTCTGGGACTAATCGGTACCGCGGAGCACTGACTGGTCGTTTTAGCTGTGGAAATAGCGAAACCGATAGGTCGGGCCCACCGGTCGGGTCGACGTGGCGCGGGCTGACGGACGACGTTAAACGGAGGGGGATGGCCGTTTCCGCGACCGTGTATTAGTGGGCCGTGCGGGTCGCTCGTCGGACCAGACCGCACCAGTGCACATCTGACCCCTCTGTCTCGACCTCGACGACCGCCGCCGCCGCCGCCACCGTCGTCTCGCCGCCGTCCGCCGGTCCGCCATGGTTTCCTGGAGCGAGGGGTCAAGCTCTTCTTCTTCGGACGACGAGTCAGTGACTAGCCATGTACGTTCATTTGAGGATTCCAACATTTAGGGTTAGGGTTAGGGTTCTTGAGTTGGGGATTTCTTACCAAGTCGCTGATTTCTTCAATCTCTTTGGTTTTAAGCTTTCTAGGACTATCCCATGCTATGAACGGAGTGGCATTGCTCATGAGCTCTCCTCTCGCTGTCTGCATCGCGAGCCTTGCCTCAGGCTAGTAGCATTTGAATCTACGGACACTGGCCAACGTTTTCTTGCTTGCGCTGAGGAGAAGGTATGTTGGTTAGTACTGTATTTCGTTAACCTTAGTTAGTTTTTGCTCCATTCAAATGCCAAAAGGAAATTTTGCTTTGCTTATTAGTGTGAACAATTGTCATTGCCCACAGTTGGATTTAATTATGCTCTGACAGTAGTAAATTATGCTACGCCAGTGTAATTTGCTCCAAATAATTAAGTAGTGTGCAACATTGTTAGTGCCAGTAGGAAATTATGCTACGGCAGTGTAATTTGCTCAAATAATTAAGTAGTGTACAACATTGTTAGTGCCAGCACTAAATTTTGTACTTACTAATGACAACATATATTTAGTTTATATGCTGTTAAAAGTGACAAAAATTTCTTATTGACAACACATATTAATTTGATAGGCTTTCTTAATTGTTTGTGCATTTAAATGAACACAATTTGATAGGCTTTCTTATTGACAACACATATTAATTTGATAGGCTCTCTTGTGTAGTATGATTGACAATATTTTTTCTGAATTATACGCTGAACTAAAGTGCAACTATCTGGAGTGGATAGACCCTGAGTGGTCAGTGGCTGCGCAGTTCTGCCTAACTGAATTGTGGGGCATGTATGACAAAGAAATCAATGACAGGGTGAGAGACAATGTTCAGCTTGGTGATCAGAATTACAAATTAGTTGGAGAAAAGAGGAAGATGGAAGAAGAGCTGAGCTTTTTCAAACTTGATTTTGCAAAAATGGTGGCTGACAAGGAGGATGCTATTACTGAGCTGGGAAATACTAGGTTGGCTCTCAATGATCTGAAAGAGGAGATGGAGAAGAAGAAGTTGGCAGACCATGGTTGCACAAACCTACATCAGTTACTCAGGGCAAAGGCAGAGAAGGAGAGGGACAAGCTTGTGGTAGAGAGAGACCAAGTGCTCACAGAGAGAGACCAACTAAAGGAAGAGAAGAAAAAGCTAGAGTACATCATCTCTGATTTGCTGAAACAGAAGCATGGCTACAAGGACAAGATCAAGAAGTTGAAGGAGATCTGTGATGAATTTTAATTATGTAATGTGGCATTGTACTGGTGTAGTTGTGCTCTGTTGCACTGAATAATCAACCCTACTAGAAGTGCACTGTACTGTTGTAATGGTTAAATTTGTACTGAATTATGCAGTTTATCTGCAAGTCTAGATTTTGAACTTATGGCATGAATTTGAACTTAATTTGTAGTGCTATCTCCTGTATCATATTGAGTACTCTATTATATTTACTTCACTCCAGGTGAAACTGGTGTGATAGTCAAATTATTGTGCATAGAAAAATTTGAAATACTAGTAACTTATGGCATGAGTATACCAGGAACTTTCTGGCATTATTATTATGCACATAATGTGATGATCAGGGAGTGCAAACAACATAGCAGTACAGAGTAAATGTAGCAGTGCAAGCACATAATTATAGATAGGTACATGATGATTGAAGCAAGCCAACATAGTAGTACACAAGAATAATAGATAGTAGTTCCTCATAGCATAAAACCAAGATCCATACATAGGTTTAGCATAACATTACACAACAGTAGTTCATAGTGGCACACATAGGTTCAACACAGCATTACATAAGTTCAAATTTAGTGTTGGCATAGATAAAGTGCTCTAGTGCCTGATGGAGCACACATGCACTTGGATACATAGTCAAACAAGAACTCTCAGTAGTTCCCACTGGCATAGAAGTACCCCTCCATCCTTTTGCTCATGTATCTTGCCCTTTTCGGCCTATATCCTGTTGGCTGGCTAGTTGAAGCTTCTGCAGTAGTTCTTGGAGGATTGAAGCTTCTTGCACCTGTTTTTGCACCTCTCTTTGCAGCAGCAGTACCAGCACCAGAAGGAGAAGAATTTGCAGCTCTAGCAGATGAACCAGCAGCTCTAGCAGATGTAGCAGCAGCTCTAGCAGATTTGCCCCTTGAAGCAGCAGCAGCAGATCCCCTTGAAGCAGATGTAGAACTTGCACCCCTAGGAGTTGTTGTACCAGATGTTGAGCTTCCCCCTTGCTGCCATGCAGGGGCTGTCCTGTTTTCCCGCAATTATTTTTGTTGGATAAATTTCAGTGATACTTAATGAGTGATGAGATAGAGAAGGAAGTCAAAAATAACATACCATGTGTTTGTTCTTCCTGATTTGCAGATCTAGCCTCAATGGCTTTGCACAACTTGTGTATTTGTGGCCCTGCAACTTGCAGTTACTACAAGTTATTGTAGCCATTCTTGATGTCTGCTTTGCTTGAGGAGGCTCAAACCTGCCTTTCTTCCTTTTCTCTTCTGCTGGTCCATTCTTGTCTTCTTTGAACTGAGGTGGGTCAATGTCAGGAGTTGCAGTTTTCACCCAACAATCAGGACCAAGAACTGGGTAAATGATAGGCTTGTATGACTCCAAGTACATAGCCTTTTTGAAGAAAATATTTACATGGTCATCTGGTAGTTGTTTGGACCTGTAGATGGCAGAACAACCATGGTTGCAAGGAATTCCAGAGATGTCCCACTTCTTACAACCACATGTTTTCAGATTAGTGTCAACAGAGTAGGTCTTATCCCCACTACTCACTTGGAAAAGACCTGGTCCAGCTATCAATGATTTGCAGTCCCTTGCATATCTCTTGCAATTTCCCATCTTGAAACTAGCCCACCCTCTCTCTTTTGCTGATACCTTACCAGAAGTTTGTCCTTGATCCCATTGATCATGGTGACAATTGGCTTGTTCCTTACATCAAGTATGTACTTATTAAAAACTTCACTTAAGTTATTGACAACCAGATCAGTTTTGCAGTTAGTATCCATTGCATGTCTTGACCAAGCTTTTGGAGGAATCCTTGACATCCACTCCCAAGCAGCCTTGCACTCAGCCTTCATGCTCTCCATTGCCAACTGAAAGTCATGTTCAGTGT